CACACACACACACACACACACACACACACACACACACACACACACACACACGGAAGTGCGGAAAGCCGAGCAGAAATCCCTTCATTCCCCTCATGTTTTCATACAGCTGTAAACACAGATCTGTTCCCTCTCTCGGTGTTTGACATGTGTAACCTCTTTTCTCTTCATAACTCAGATGGATGTGGATTGTATTCCATCACTTTCTTTCTCCTACCCCGCAATTATATTAATATATCATAAGTGCTTTCTTATAAATATATTATCAAAGTGCCTATTAATATATAAAGGCTGCTACCTGTTCTCTCACAGCAGCTGTAATGAGGCTGTGTGGGTTGGAGTGTGGGATACATTTAAGTATGTGTGTCATGTTTGAATGTGACTGGTAGGAATGCCAGACTCATGGAGTGTGAAACATTTTAAAACTGCTAACTCAAATAACTTGAAGGTACTAATACACACATATCACATGCACATTTGTTATTGAGCTGCAGTAGCTTGGTTTTTGGTGCCAGTCTTGTAATCAAGATGCTGTAGTTTTGAGCCCAGGTTGCATCAGGAAAGTCATCTGGTGAAAAACAATTGCCAGACCTTTCCAGCCAAAAGAACAACATGCAGATATCTTATATTTAATTAGTAGTATGTCTGTGGAAGCACATAGAAAATAAAGTACTGCATCCAAAAATGGCCTGAGGTAAATGGTAAATGGACTGTACTTATATAGCACCTTTCTATCTTATTTCAAGATACTCAAAGCGCTTTACACTACAACCTGTGTCCTCATTCACCAATTCATACAGCATTCTACTAGATCTATACAAAGCTAATTGAACAAATCATTCTAATGAGACTAATCAGTGCTTTAGATCATATTCAGACACCGATGGGACACACATCAGAGGCTATGAGGGGTTCAGTGTCTTGCCCAGGGACACTTCGACATGTGACTGCTGGTGGACTCAAACCCCCAACTCTCGCATAGGAGGACGACTGCTCTAACCACTCAGCCACAGCCGCGGTAAGGTGGAGGTAAGAAATTACTTTACATTTAAAGTACTTGAAGAAATTCACAGTGCCCACTTCCTTTCAAATCACAGCTTAGGACTAAAAACATCTTATCATAAGAAGTTTTGGTTAAATTGTGTCCATAGATGTTCCTCATTCTGGCAAATTTTGGCCATTTTGGTTAAACCTTGAAAATCTAATTATTTGCAGTCTTACTCAATTTTATAACATCTCACAAGATTTGTTAGAACTTCAAGTATGTGTTGTGAATGACGCTCAGCTGGTATATATTGGTAGGCATTGTTGTGTCGGCTAAGGCCAGTTAGTTGTAGCATCCATTTTGTATCGGGTTGAGTCCAAAAATGCATTACTTTTAGATGTACAGCCTACAACTTCTTACAAATTGAGTTGAATCCGTCCTGAAGTTTATGAGATATTCTGATTAAGACTTCATTCCAATAGTTAACAGTAACATTTTAAACACAGATCAGAAAGCCCTCAAAGAATAAGTCAGAGTAAGGCTCAGCCACTAACACATGAAAATTTACTCTGTTCAGGTTTTAGGCAAAGTTGCTGCAAAGTCTTGCGCTCTGAGAATGTATTGGGGATGATGCTCAGCTACTACCGCATCAATTATTAGCTCAATATATGTATATTTGACTGAGCTATAGCCATTGTTGAGTTTCTAAGATCATTTATCTGTATTAACCATATTGAATTAGAATAACTCAAAGTTAATAAGGTGTAGATGTAGATCCACATGGTGCCAGCAACATTGTCTAGTATTGTTATTATAAACAATGTATACAGTGTAAACATCAAAATAAAACAAATGGTTCATTACTTTATTAAATGTTGTTTTGAAGACAATAATATATTTTGTGTTTAATGATGTAGAAAATAACTTGTTTGCTGCTTTATTGAATTATCTTTGTATTTTGAAAAAATGTTTTTTGTTTTAAATTTATTATCATGAGGTGACTTTCTTGTCAATCATATCTGTAATTTGAATCAGTCAAACTGTTCGCTATGGGTAAATTGTGTTTCTCCCTGCGTGGAGCGCTGCTGTATTAAAAATCACTGCTGTGTTTGATTGTGAAAAAATCAATTTGATCTGTCAGGAAAACAAGACATTTACAGTGTGATAAAAATATAAAAATAATGAAAAATCAAAAATCAACCTTCTGTCTGAAGATGAAAATTAAAGTGTTGGAGAATAACAGAACAAGCAACATAAGATTTTAAACAGAAAAAAAAATCAAATTTACTTGTTCTTAAAAAAAAAAAAAAAAAAAGCATCCAACCTAGAAACTTAAAAATGAATGTTACTGCTTGATTTGTTAAATGGTATCAATTCTTTCCAAAAACTAGTTTTGGGAGTTTTATATAGCCACTTTTATTACACCAGAACCAGGAATGTAAGTTGAAGGAAAGCTGCAGTTGTGCTTAATGTTTGATGTGCAGAGTGAACCGTAAATTCATCAAAGAAAGACCTTCCTTGACACATAAATGTTCGATTTAATAAAGCATCATTTTGTTTGGCTTGTTCATCTTGCAAAGATAAAAGCTGTAATTCTTAGCTCAACATCCCTTTTTGTTCCTGTGCTGCAAATATTTCACTAAAACCAACTTGGATAATATATTTACTCATTGGAAAAATGTTACAGCCAGTAACTGTAATTTCCTAATGTTCAAAGGGAGTCAACGGCATGGCACGGAAACACTGAAACCATTGAGATTTTTAGGTGTTGGAATGAGTGACACAAGCATGTAAGCACACAAATACAAATCCTACTCCAATGTAAAATTACAAAACCTCTGTAAAAGCCATTTTAAAAAAAATAAAACAGTAGCATAAATAAATCTTTTTATAATACTTTTTTTTAAGTAAAAAGCAAGAAACATGCTGAGTCAGACAGCACAAGGATAAATCATTGTCAGAACTCACATGACTTCGAGGCGAGCAGAGCGGGAATCATTCCCAGCTTTAGATGTCACAGTGCAGGTGTAGTCCCCGATGTCACCGGACCACGTCTGGCTAATCGTAAGAGAACCTTGTCGAACAGAAACACGACCGCCGCTGCTCGGTTGAACCGGAACACCGCCGCGATCCCATGTGAAGCTGCAGTACATCATCGTAAAACATTGTAAATAAGAGTGAACAATTGTTAAATTTAGGCATGCATTTTATGAAAACATCAATCATCAGGTACCTGATATTAATTCTGGGGTCATGTGTAGCATCACAGTTTAGAACAGCAGTGGTTCCTTTGATGACACGCTGGTCTACTGGAGGCACAGAAATGACTGAGCGACCTAAGAAATAAAGACAAAATGAAAAGGACAGAGAGCAAAGAGACAAAATATGTCTGTTAGTACCCTCATCTTATATCATAATACAAACAAAGACCTGTTTAAAATGTCTACATTAAATATTTAGTTGCTCCAAACCAGGATGATAATGACTCAAGGAATAAGAGATAGACATGTATAACATAGCACTGTACTTCAGAAGTACGCAAACACCTACTGCACTTATACCATTAATATTACACGGTCTATCAATTTACTGATATTTTGCCACTCTTAGGTGTAAGATTGGTTTTAAAGATAAAAGGTTCACTAATGAAAAATACATTCAGACACAAAGAAGAGAGCCTCTGCTCTGTCCCTAACTTCACTCTCTGTCTGTGATCTGTTTTCATTTATCTCACAGCTAAAGTGAAGTCCTGGTCCATCTAACTGAGATGTAATTGATCCGACACTGCCAGTATAAATGCATGAAGGGCTGATGAGTCCCTGATTTAGCTAATAAAATGATTTTTTTTTTACAGCTGCAAAAACCAAATGCATCAGCAACCCGTCGTAGAGGTGCCCACTGTCCTGATCTAATGCTACATGACAGGGATAGATAAACTGGTGTTCCATGTCTGTTTTACTCTTTCTGGGAAATGCATATTGAGCTGTTTAATGTATTTTAGTCCATAGTATGTGTTCGTATGTGTCTTACTCCACACAGTGAGTGTAGCAGTGGCATTGATGGTTCCCTCAGAGTTGAAGGCGATGCAAGTAAATTCTCCTGAATCCTGGAAACTGACTGGTTGAATCTGCAGACCACCAGACTGCAGCAGTGTGAACCTGGGAACCTGGACAGAGCCGCTGGCTATGACCTGAGCTCCTACAAAGTGAGAAAACATAAAAATTAGCCCAGAAAAAAGGAAATAAATGTAAGACAGTATGAGTGTGTTCAGAACAGATGTGAGTGCAGTTTGTAGAGAGCATGACTCAGGACCTTTCCTCCAGGTAATGGCTGGTTTTGGACCACCACTGTTCTGACAGGTAAACAAAGCGGTGTCGCCATCTATTACTGTTTGGTCTGAGGGAGGGGATGAAAAGAGGGGGGCCACACCTAAAACACAAGGAAAATTGCATGAAGAGATTTAGGCTGGATAGTAAAACTAAGCATTTAAGATAAGGACAAGCTAAACGGAAGCCGTGAAGTATATAACAAAATGGAACGTGAAAGGAAGAAAGTGCTGGTCTAAACACCAGTGCAATCTCTCTGATCAATGGGGGGTTTATTTACTACCTGCCCCTACGTGTGTGTGCATAAATGTGGAAACAGCTGTGGTGAGGACACATGGATGTTTTATTTCATATCCAATGCTTTCTAAATCAAATGTAAACCATCAAGTCAAAATGCAGTGTTTAAAGACTTTGCCCGTCGAGTTATTTTAGGGAAGAAAAATAAATAAAATAAAATAAAATAAATAAATAAATAAATAAATAAATTATATATATATATATATATATATATATATATACACTGTGTATATGTGCAGTGTAATGTGGTGCTGTGATCGCAGTCATTTGATCAAAACAGAAGACAGAATCAGTACTTTATTTTTTAGCCACAGCTAAAACTCATTAGGTCAGCAATCAGCGTGTTTGATTTTCAAAATATTATTATTTACTGCTGCTTTAAATGGATCGTATAATTTCCATCCATCTATTAAATGTATCCACTTCTTCCTTTCTGGGTCATGAATGGTATAATTTATTGGAAATCGTTTCCTGGTTTTCTGGACATTTGTAGGGATTGGAGTCATTGTTTAAGAAAAACAAGAAATTAATCAATTTAAGTCTTGGACTTTAGGAAAGTATTGGATCCTGTGTAAGGTGTTGGTGGCCAGATTTTCTTTTTGTCCATCACCATGAAATCCTGCCAAGATCACTATCGATACAGATCCTTGAAGAAATTCTAGTTTATTAATTTAAAGCATTCCATATGGAATTTATTTCAAGTTCAGCTTGAGATCATTTGGAAATGTCATCACTTCATGCTGCAAGGCAGCTAACCAGAGATGACCTGCAGTGGAAATTTAGTCTTTATTGTAGCAAGTTTATCACTAGCCTTTCTGAAAAGTTTAAAGGACCATCATTATTGACCATCAGTCTTTTTAAAATATGATTAACACCTTAGATGAATATGAACAAATTCTGCAATGTTAACCTAAATATTGATAACAAAATTTTTCTAAATATTCACAAAAATCTACTATTGGCGAGTATCTTAAAAAGGGCATTAATATTTGTCTATAAAAATGTTGATAAACAAAATATTGAAAATGTCCATTATTTGCAACCCTTAACCATCCATCTATTGCTTTTAGTTTTAACCACTTTTCTGTGCAAGGTCAAAGGGGTGCTGGTGTCCATCTCCAACAGTAATGGTTCAAGAGACGTGGACTGGTCACAAGATCATCACAGGGCCACATAGAGACAAACAACTATTCACACTTTCTCACATCTAGGGAAAGTTTAGAGTTATCAGCTAACTTATGCATGTTTTTGGATTGTGGGAGGAAACTTAAGCACCTGGAGAAAACCCACTTGTGCAAGCTCCACACAGAAAGGCCTGAGGTGAGAGGCAACAACTCTAACTATTGCTCTGTCATCCTGCACCCTTATACTTACTCGATAGATAAGCTAATATGACAAGAAAAATGTGAGCTCAAAAGGAGAGCTAAGTCAATAACAGAATAAGATACACATAAAAATAAGTTTATTAGAGACAAGCATTGTGAAACAACAATGACAAAATTTAAGGTGGAATGTAGAGAATATAGAAGTTTATGCTGGAGAATGTACCAGACTAACTCACTGAAAACGAGAAGTTCTGTGAGGGCTTGAGTCTCTCCAGCAGGACTGCGAGCGAAGCACTGGAAGACTCCTCCATCTCCTGGCTGCACCCTGCGCACCGTCAGCCCCGTGGCTGCACTGACCTTGTAACGAGGGTTGGACAGTTTGGAAAGTGGCACCGCGTTCTTATACCATTCAATCCTGGGCTGTGGCACACCTTTATACGTACATATAGATGAAAAACAAAGACAAGAAAGAAAACCTTTATTTTATTTTTATTTGTTTGCCATAATAAAAGCCAGCTGACCTCACTGCTGAGGCTCCGACTCTCACTAAAACAGCCGCACACGCTCTTTTGTCGTCTTTTGTTCCACTCTTATCCAATCTCGCCCTATAAATATGCATGCAGGCATAATGAGTGTTAATAATATATTGATTGGAGGTTGTGGGTGGTAGAGCAGGGGTGGCAGAAGGGCCCTGAAAACATTCTGAATAAAAGATGTGAATAAATGCAGCACACCAAGTATCTACAGTATCAGCAGCCACCTGTCTGACCGACATGCCAGATATGACAGGCAGGGAACTCATGCAATTACTCTGCCTGAACCCTTCACACCTGTGAGTGTGTGAGTGGCTGTTCGACTGAAAGAGATGGACTTGACTTTCTCAATCTGTCGGTGTCAAGCTTTCACATACACGCGTGAAATATTTTTCAGCCCCTTCTTGTCTTACTCACTCTGTCACTCTGCCTTTTCTCCCTCCCTCAGTCCTCCTCCTAGCCTCCATCATTCTCTCCATACCCCCAGGCCACTGCTATTTAATTACACTGCCACTGTATCAGATTACTGAAGAGAAACATGAACTCACTCAGTTTATGTGTGTGTGTGCATGAGGGAGGGTGAGAAAGAGGGAATGAGAGGGGATGAGAGCAGAGTCTATTGCAGTTCTTAGGACTGTGTCCAGCCCTCCTTGAAACAGGAACTGAAGTTGTCCACCTTGATTTCTTGAAGGGGTTTCAAACATTTGATAATATCAATAGAAAAATTAAGGCAGATATGTTCTTGTTTTTAGTATTTCACCCTGTTTTTACGGCACCCTGATTTGTTTTATAAACTACTCTTATTTTAACTGCATTTTTACTGTCGTTTATTGTTGTCATTGTCTACTGTTATTGTTGTCTGTACTTTATATGTTCTGTCTGGAACAGGTCCCTCTTGTAATTGAGTCCTTGTGGATCAATGAGACTAACCTGTATAAATAAAGGTTGAATGAAAAATAGTCATTACCTGAAGCCTGGCATGGGATTTCAACATTCCTGTCAAGATCTGCAAAGACCTTCTTTTTGGGTAGAACAGTCAGTGAAGGTGGTTCTGCAGAGGGAAAAACAAAACAAAACAATAACTCAAAAACATTTTGTATCAATATAAGACCAATCAAAAACAAACATTCACACAAAATACTTGAAAAATATAAAGTGAAGAAAAAAAGTTTTCAAACTTCAGGCAACTGCAAATCAAAGTTTACCGTTAGAGAGGAGACACTTAAACAACTCTACACAAGAGAATTAAAAAAAAATGTTTTCTCTCTTGGCCCAGGGTTAGCTAAGTGGTGCTGCAAGAGAGGATTTCTGTCTATATACCATGTGAAGTGACTTCCACGCATCCACAGAGAAACAGAATGCAGGTATCCCAAGGGAAGCAATCTCCTTTTTAAACTGCTCCATTTTGCTGCCAATAATGGCTCATTCCAAACAGCTTCACCGAGGCTGCTCTAACTGCTGACACAAGCTATGATGCAAAAAAGGATCACATTATTTACACGTGAATATTTGGTTTTAATTATTTATTTTTTTTTACTTTAAGCTACATGTTATAAAACTCACATAGTGCTTAATATGCCTCATTAAAACATTGTTTAGCAAATGATTGACAGAATATTTCTCCAGTTTTAGCGTCTCTCCAGTGGCTCCCTGTCAAATTCAGAATAGAGTTCAAAATCTTACTTCTAACCTACAAAGCCCTCAACAATCTAGTTCCATCTTAACTTACAGATCTTATTGTCCCATATTTTTCTAACAGAGCACTTCATTCTCAGACTGCAGGTTTACTTGCAGTTCCTAGAGTTTCCAAGAGCATAATGGGAGGAAGATCTTTCAGTTATCAGGCTCCTCTCTTGTGGAACCAACTTCCAGTTTCTGACCATGAGGCTGACACATTGTCCAGTTTTAAGACTGGACTCAAGACGTTCCTTTTTGATAAAACCCTATAGTTACGGTTGGCTTGTTATGCTGCCATAGGCTTAGACTAATGGAGGACAAATTAATTACTACAATTGAATAGTTTTCATTTTATACTGCTTCTATCTTAACATGTGATTCTCGACCTGCCATTGTGTATCTGTTCCTCCTTCCTGTTCCTCAAACCCAGCCGGTCAAAGCAGATGTCCGCTTGTCCTAAGCATGGATTCTGTTAAAGGTTTCTTCCTCATGAGGGAGTTTTTCCTTTCCACTGTTGACTTCATGCTTGCTCAGGATGAGAGTTATGCGAATGAATTAAATTCAAAGCAGCCTGCTCCTCAGATAAACAGTGTTATTAACTCACTTTTATATATAAGAAGTTTATGTTCAGTGCCCTGAGATGACTTCTGTTGTGACTGGCGCTATATAAATAAACTGAAATGTATAGAAGAAGTCTAAGAATTATGAGAACTACTAATACAAGATGTTTTTTTGTCTATAATTTACAAGAAAAAAGATCCACATCCAGGAAGCAGTTTATTGTACTGAATCCAGATACAATTAAATGTAAAGGTACAATTAACAGCAAACAAATAGACAGGATTGTAATTGAAGTTTCAATTTTAGTTCAGTAATACATAAACAAACAATGTTTCTGACTATAGTTATTTTTAAAATTATGGACAACAACAATACATTTATTGTTGCTATTTACACAACAGGAGGATGCAGTCATACATATTCCTATTAGTGGATCGGGGAAAAAATAATTGAATAATGAAAACCTTTGAGGTTGCCTCTGTCTCTCATACAGACACATACACTATTCTGTTTAGGAATCCTTTTTATTGCATCAAGGTCTGCTGAGTCCATCGCAGAAAAGAAAGAAGATCTGTAGCAATGTATTCATCAGTCTCTTCTCCTCTGATACAAATGAATCCATGCAGACTTTTCTGCTGTCAGGCAGGCCTTAAAAAAGAGCTGCTAGCCTAATGAAGGCATATAATGTGGAGAGAGTGATTGTGCAGGGATCACAGAGAGAAAGAGCCAAGCAGAGGGTCCAAAAATTGGCTCTAGACAGTGAGCAAGAAAGATAGGGGGGATAGGGGGACACAAAAAAGGGAACGAGTGCAGAATCAATATTCAGGCAGGTCTGTAAGTATTCTGTAGGCGTGGGTAGTTTGTGCTCTCTGCTTAGGCGCCCCTTTGCTCTGACAATCGCAGCAGATCAAAAAGACACAGACAAACTGGGGAGAAAAGTTTTGCATCATCAATCACATCCTCTCCGTTCGCCTGCTTGTTGTCTATTTATGTGCACACATTGAGGATAGACGTGGATTCTTATAAGAGCGTACCTTTTTGGGGAAAATTTTCCATGTTCTCCTATTAATTGGCAACTCTAGGAGCAAAACTAATTTAGCTACTGGGCAAATAGGCACATGTGTCTGTTTAAAAAAAAAGGGTGATTATGTGTAAGCATGAAGTAGATGTGTGTGAACATGAATGTAACAGCTACCCATGACTACAGCAGACATTTTATTGGCTAGAGAAGACAAAAGATTCAGCTTGAACAGCCCTGTAGTTGACAGCCACTGCCTGGAGTGTTCACTGTCACACTTTAAAAAGGAAAAGTCAGAATAAATGGACAAATAAACAAAATGAAACAGAGCCTGGAGCATAAAATGTACAAGAAGAGCCAGGAGTGAGGCTTAAACAGACATTAATCACATGATGGGGGCATTAGCAAGCCTGTCCTGGATAATCGTTGATAATGGTGTTAGGTATGGTATGTGTACTTGTATTACGCTTGTGTAAATATTTTCAAACCAACACAGAACAAGAACTCAACTTTTCTTTAGGGACAAAAAAGGTAAACAATTCAATTTGTTACATTTTGAGGTGCATTTAAGTTATAGAAGTAGGAACTATCAGCAGATAATGAATGTAGGTCAGGATTTTCTAGAGTGCTTTAGGGAAGGACAGGCTTTTATTCTTACCCATTACACTCAGATGTGCCCTTGCCTCCACAGGTTTGGCAGTATTGTTGCTAAGTGACGCTTCACAAATATACAACCCTGCATCAGAGGAGGCTGGGGCAGGAATAGTAAGCCGACGCCCACTGGTCAGCCGACGCCCATTGTGCTTCCATGACACCACAAGGTCATCAACTGGTCTGGATAATGAGGAGTGGAGAGGAAAGACAAGAATAAGGAGAATTGGGTTAAAACATAGGAACAGGGTGACAGAAGGTGATTACAACATATTACAGCCATCAGTTTATTTGTCAATGAGGCAGAAAATGAATGATGACAGTCTGTATTTCAGAGCAGTCAGCTCTACTCAGCATGAAGGAGTTTTAGTCAGTTTTTATAAGTACTGGGGAAGGAAATGGGTTTTTGTGGCAAATTGATTTTGTTTTAGATAAACAACATCAATACGACATTTGTGTTCTGTTTATTTGTGTAAGACAGCATTAATACATTACAGCATCTGTCTATGAAAGCACAACTCTTTTTCTTAGCAGTACTCAGTAACTGTTATGACACTGCGTGTGATTTCCACCAACATTTTATTTTTCCTTGATATCAAAGTTTGCAAAATACTCAGTAGAACAACAAGTAAAATGTTTGTTTCTTTTGGCCGTTCCCTTCTTCTGGGGTTGCCAGTGAGTGAACTTGCATAAAAGATTTGTCACTGGATGCCGTTCCTGACGTCACCTTGGCTTGAACCTGTAACTTCAGGATTACAAGGCCGCGACACTGATCACCAAGCAGAGGTGGAAAGAGTACTGAAAATTTGTACTCAAGTACAAGTACTGTTACATTGCTTAAATTGAACTCAATTACAAGTAAAAATACTGGTGTTATAAAAATACTTAAGTAAAAGTACAAAGTACTCTTCTCAAAAACTACTCTGAGTATTCAACATTTTTCAGTCAGGTCATCTGGACAGTTTCTTTTTTTGTGCTGAAACGTTTCGCCTTCGGTCCGGAAGGCTTCATCAGTCAAGGAAACACACAACAAAACAGATTATTCCCCCAACAGCTTACTCCAAAGTGGAACAAACCAGTTCTGCTTGTGATAAGATGGTCTCTTTGGTACGCCCCCTCCTCCATTGCCGGCCCTCTTCCTTGTTGACAGTCTTGTCAAACCGGTTGAAAACATCAAAGTCCATGCTCAATAATCCAGGTATACAATCCAACATTTTTCAGTCAGGTCATCTGCACAGTTGATTTATTTTTTTGTGCTGAAACGTTTCGCCTTCGGTCCAGAAGGCTTCATCAGTCAAGGAAACACACAACAAAACTGATTCTTCCCCCAACAGCTTACTCCTTTGCAGTAAGATGCAGAACTGGTTTGGGAGCGGTCTACTAAAATTTAGGGAATAGGATTGTGGAATGGTCTGAAGGATGATGTCAAAACTGCCATATATATGTACATATTTAAGAAAATATTAAAAGTTAGTTTTCTGAAGGAACATGGAAAAGTATAATGTGTATCTATAAAAATTGTTGTTTGAGTTGATGTTGTTTTTATTTGGCTTTGTTTTTTTGAAAACTACTTATGTTTGAATATATTCTGGGAAAAAGGGGGCAGATATCATAAGATTTATTCTTCTTCTGTTTCCTTTCATTTTATTTTTTGGTTGTATATATATATATATATATTTTTTTTTGTTGTCTATTGTATATAGTTATTTTGTTTTTAATGAAATGAATACATTTCTAAAAACTTGGCGCGTTCGCGATCTGAGAGCCTTATTGGCTACAAAGAGGCAGATGAACGGTTTGAATATTAATTCAAATTGTGACTGTACTCAGTAGCAACTTCTGAATTTAAAAGTAGTGAAGTAGATTACATGGTCTAAATTGTACTTAAGTATGAGTAAAATTACTCACTTGAAAGAAATACTCATAAAAGTACAAGTACCCAAAGAATCTACTTAATTACAGTAATGTGAGTATTTGTAATTCGGTACTACCACCCCTACCACCAAAATACCATAACCCCTACCACCACCACCACCAAACTCAGTAGAACAATACGTGATGATGTAATAAGCAGAATGAGCCAGTCTCCAAAACACAAAAACCTTAGTAGCTGTGTCTACAACCAGAACAGCAGTTAGTCCAGAATGCGGCAGTTCGTCTTTTAACACAAACAAAAACGAGTACACATATCACCACAAGAGCTGGTTTCCCTTCATTGACTCCTTGTTTGTTTCAGGATTGATTTTAAAGTTTTATTGATGACCTATAAGACCCTGAATGAGTTGTTTGCTGTCTGAGCTCGTGCAACCTTATGTGTCCTCCAGGTCCCTTAGATCTAATGATCATTTGCTTTTAGTTGTCCTGAGGTCCAAACTGGTCCACTGAGGTGATACGGCCATTTTAGCTCCTAAATTATGAAACCAGATGCTCATTCGTATTAGGCAGGCATCTTGGAGTTTTTAAGTCATATCTGAAAACATGTGTACTCACTGCCTTCTAATGCTGCATGAGAGTTGTCTTTTATTCCTTCATTTTATGGTATTTCATGTTTTGTCATGTTTTTAATTGTTTTTGTTGTTTGAACCATTGTTGGACAGCACGGTAGAGCAGTTGGTAGAGCTGCCGCCTCTCAGTGAGCAGATCGCCACAGTTCAAATCTTGGTCGGGGGCCTTTCTAGGTGGAGTCTGCATGTTCTCTCTGCGCATGTGTGGATTTTCTCTGGGTACTCCGGTTTCCTCCCACAGACCAAAAACATGCATGTTAGGTTGACTGGTAACTCTAAATTGTCCCTGGGTGTGAGTGAGAGAGTGAATGGTTGTTTGTCTCTATCTGTCCCTGTGGTGGATTTGTGACTTGTCCCGGTGTCCCCCGCCTCTCACACAGTGATAGCTGGACATGGGCACCAGTGACTCCCACAACCCAAAAAGGAAGAAGTGGGTAACGATAATGGATGGATGAACTATTGTTGTACTGAGAATTTATTGATTTTGTATGCAGCACTTTGGTCACCGACATTTGTTTCTTAATAAGATGTTTAAATAAATGTGATTTGATTTGAACCAATAAGCTATGAAAGTAAATCCAAATTAAGTTATGCAAAACTAAGATTAAAACGAGAAACATGACCAAACATCTGAATACCATTAAGGCTACATTCAAACAAATTAAGTGGATTATATTTACAATTAGGTTTAATTATGATTGTAAATCCAAAGTAACAGGAGTCATGATACAATTAAACATTCACAGGAATTAAGTAGAAGAAATTAGACTATGAATGCTGACTTGTTTTCATTCATTAGTGTTTAATTTATTATTTTTCAGGGCTAATCTTTTTTTTTTCACTTTAAGAGAAGTCAGTTTGTTGTTCATTTTAAACTGAATGAATATAACAATTGTAGGAATAGTAAAACATGTGGGGGAGGTGAAAAAGGCTAGTCAACGATATTCTAATGTATTTTAAGATGATGCTGTGATATATTTCTATATGTATGATTGCAACCTGTTTACAACAGGCCAGATACTAACAGTTTTTATATACACACACACACACACATATATATATATATATATATA